TAAAAAAAAAATAAAAAAAAAATTTTACCTTGTTTTATAAAGTATCCTCCCGACAAGTATTTCAGTGCGGACCTGTATTTGATCGTGAGGTCCCCTGTGAGGTCTTAAGTCACCTGATTCACGAGCCCGTTGTACTACATTAACAAAGGCACGAGGGGTTGGTTGCACTCGATTGGGAAACCGATCCGCATAAACATGTGCCATTTTTTATTTCGTTTGAGCCACGCAACAGAAACTATTCACACGCTAACCGACAGATACTGACTGTATGTATAACTGAACTGAATAAAACACTTAATTGCAAAAACGTCGTTCCAAATTCTTTCGCTTTTTTGTTTCCGATGCGATGAACCGGTAAGGCGGATTATATCCGTTGTTGCCAAACACGAGTACATGATATTATTATTGAGACAGGGCGGTACTCAAACTTCCAAAGGGCTATAACTTTGTTACTTTAATTTTACCAGAAAAATGGTAAAGGAAAAAAACATTTCTTTTGATCAGATCTACTCACTGTTAAAATAAATGACTCAACTTCGAAGTCACCCTGTATATTTGTGATTCTGTTTGGAAGTTGGGAATTTCAAAATATTTTAACCAGCCAAATCAGCATAAACGGTAATCGAAAAAATAGCAAAGAAACTGAATACAAAACACAAGTACTGAAATGTCAAAATTTACGTCAATCTTTCAAATCTCAGCACAAATCAACAAACTTTTAGCACAGAACTAGCCTTTGTGGCAATATTGCCAATAAATGTATTAATTCTAAGAAATATCCCTATATTCCAAGTTTGCCAACATGACCAAAAGTCGGGGTTTATAAACCCAGAGTTAAACCTTGACGGTACAAAGCTACCCGAATTTAACCTGGGGTTACCGCTAACTCCGAGTCAAGTAACCCTCACCTTTAACCCAAAGCGGTGCAAACCACCGTCAAAGAAACAATGTGGGTCAATTTCACCTATATTCTCCCAATTTTCCTAATAAGCTCAGTATACTTAGAACAGCCACAATATTGGAAGCATTTTTTTAATACTATTGATGCCTACTTTAGTTTTCGCTATTATTTAGGTATCAACTAAAGGTCTTCCTTATACTTTTCACCTAGATTTACAAAAATTGATTTTGCAATCTCTTAACCCATGTCAAGAATATCAGTGAACAGCCTATTAACGAAATGTTATTTAAAAATATATAGATGATTATATTGCGAATCTCTGCTACCGCAGATATTTCAAGCGGAAGTATATACATGGATGTTGATATAAGACATATGATAATTCGATAAAATATTGTGTACTGATAATCAGGCAATGTTAATAGCAACATACAAACAAGAACACACCTAAAATCACAGTGCTGAAATCCTTTGGGCGGCAGGCTGCATAGCGAAAATTCTTTTGACAAAACATGTTGGTTATCGTAAGTAAATTTATGCTAAGCTTTTTAATCGGTACCTCTTAAAGTGCGTTTAACTTATACAGAATAAAATTGCAACATCTCGGAACACGCAAACAATGCCGAAGTCATGAAAAATCTTAATCAAAGATAAAAAAATATGTTAACAAAGTTCTTAAATATTCCTCAAACATATTAGAGTTGGGTAACATGGCCCCAAATTCCCGTATTAAAATAAAAATGCTTCACAAATCACATGGCTTGGCTACTAAAGCCTATTTTTTCATTTGTGACCGAAAGTTGACGCAAATTCCGTCAATCAACGATTTGTGGCCCAATCGAAACATCGATCAAACCTGATACGATAGATTGGCATGAGCATTTTAATGAAAATTACAGTGTCTCACTGTTGCAGTACAACATTTACGGAATGCTTATTCTTCCAAACAGTAAAGAATCAATTTACGAGTACTTACTGCTTCAGGAACATATCGCGCCCTCTACTGGAGGGTAGTGGTGTAGTTATTCTACCGTCCGGTAGAGTGCGAGACATGTAGCTGATAACAGCAACTGAGTGTTTGTTAAAGAATCAGCACTCTGTTATTTCAATTAGGTCATCAAAGAATTTATGAAGCAGAATTTTGTACAGCAACAGAGAGATACTGTTATTTTCAATAAAATGCAAACCTAATTGCTGGATGCGTTCATTTTTTATTGGTGCAATGTATGATCATGACCGATAATTTATAAATTATGAACGTGATGACGCCAAAATTCGGTCACCTTTGGTCGGAAACGCCATTGACGCCACTTTTATGACGGAAACAAGACGTCCTTTAAAATGCTGTCATTTTGACGTCATTTTTAGGACAATCAGTACACTTACCTACAAAAAAATATAGACTTTTAATGAATATTCGGGTAAATTAGATATCCAAATATTAATACATAACAACTTTATTGATATTTATAAAAAGTATCAGGAATTCTTACACCAAGGTTATCTTGTTAATATGACTTTTCTAATAATAATATTCCTTGTTCGTATATTTCAAATTGCCATCTTACATCATGTTTTATTCCCGTAAATAACAAATGTATTAGGTAAACTGCTATGTATAACAATAAACAAGTTTTACTAGAAAATTTGCAATCAAGCGCGGTAAAAATTCAAATTTCAACGGTTCGGCCATTTTATTTTATAAATCTATGGGTTTGACCGACATCACGATGGTTTCGTCGTCTTTAACGTACATTGTGGTACAATTTAATAGTAACGACAGTCGACACCCAGGAAACAAGAACTTGTTTTGGCCTCCTGTGAAAAAGCAAAGACAAATGGCTACAAACAAATTCTGAACCATCTGAACGTGTTTGAGATCAATCGGTGTTTTTTAGTTCTTTATTAACCATTTCGATATACTTTGTACAAATGTTACTCATAAATTGCGGAGGTGATAACTGAACCAGAGGGTTCAAGAGTAATTACAAGTCATATACATGCTAACAGTAGTTACACACAACGCGGCCGCGGTGATGATTTCCCGTAATTCTCTTCAGTTTTTCGTAATTTATAACTTTGAACATAACCTCTCTTCAGAAACCACAACATAAATAACCCGTCATATTCAGCATATTCAGTAATGATTTTCTCACACAGCAAATATCACTGATTTTATACACATGCAGTTCAATACATATAATCATCCAAATGCGATCTTGTTATTCAACCAACTTTCTTCTCAGAGATAAAACTACAGACACGGATCACTCAGCCTCAATCTATGCAACCAATAATGCGTGTATAGTTTAGTTGAGTGATTCCTTCATAGATGGACGCTCACAACGATCCTAGTGAGCAAACGTGGAATGACTATTTGCGTCCTAAAAACTACCTAGTCTACAAATTGATATCTTGTAGATTTTTTTTGACGTTTTGTAGGTTTTTTACATGATCCCGTGCGGGTCTTTTTTGACGAACACTGTTTCGCAATCGTCTTAAAACCTCCAAATAAAAGGTCTGATTTACAGTGTGACCTGGGAAACAAACTCGGAACGGACTACGCCTGTGACATCAAAAAATAAATCAGCATTGTTTTGATGTTTGATTTGACTTGACGATATTTTTTTGGACGGAGTGGCGATGGCGTCTTCCATTGACTTCGCTATTGTTTCGTTTCTGGGTCATAGCCGTAGCACCAAGTCTCATGACCAGAATCTATAATCAAATTCAAGCGGATAACCAAATGGAAATAGTATTTACCATTTTGGGTTGGTACTTACCGATCCGTTCAAGCGAGTGTGGTTATCAGTTTGGTTATAAGATCCGTGACGTCATGAATCAGCCGCAAAACCGCAAAATTGTGGTATTTACCCAACTCAGGAGTAGTTTTATATTTCAGGTTATTATTTGAAATGTGACAAGTTAGAATTTTGCCGGGTATTGGATATTGTTATTGTACTTCAGCTTCATTTTTGAGAAAATTGATACAGGCTAACTTCAGTTTTACCATAAAGTGGAGCACCTTATTAGTTATACTCATTACGGTTGTTGGGGACACTTTAAATGTAGATCCTATGCTTAACAAAGTATCCTGTGTATCCATATACCACAAGAATATTAAAATATGGCCATATAAACTCACTAGATGATATCCACCTGTATACGGTTTTGCTAATTTCTTTTTTCATCATTTCTGCTGAATCAATAAATGTTTTCTTTGACATGCGGAAAAATTTAGAGAATTGAAAGTTATCATAGCTACAAAGCCATGGTTCCATCATTAAAAAAAATCTGAAAAAAACATTTCTCCCATGAATATTATGAAAGGTTTCTTATTTAAACTTTCCATATACAGTTGTAGACGAAAAAGCACCGATTATTAAGTGATAATAAAAATAATCAGAGATTATATACGTGCTTTTCTAAAATAAACAACTTGCAACAAAACCGCGGTTAAAACCAACGCGTTCAAGCGATTCGTGTAACTGACGTCATCAACCCGTGTGTCATCTTGAACCATATTATAACCGCGGCACATAACACAGAAATTTTGGTTATTCGCTTGGATTTGATTAATGACTACAGATGAAGGAAACAAGCCAGATCGACAACTCAGGTGGCACTGAACTGGTAATGAGTTGCGCTGTGCGCCTCTAGTTGCAGAAATGTATACTACTCAAGCTCCGCCCACTGCACCGATCATTTTTGGGTACCTCCTTGTACTACGACGTCATATAATGACGTCAATTAGGTGTGACATGAGACCGTCATACCGACGTCATTTCTACATCACTTTTGTTGGTCGACGTACGTCAGTTGTGCTCTAAAAATGTCGACATGACGTCACTATGTTCGGATGCAAATGAAAAAATAAGTTTTTGTAGCTTGTTTTGTTTATGGCGTAGTTATTGATATAATACGACAAAATGCAGAATTCTTGAAAGGTGGCTTTTTTTAATAATTTGAGCTTTCAGTTTATTTTGGTGGCATTTTTCTGATGCTATCTTGTAATCAGCTTCTTAAATTGTAAAAAGGGCTTAGGTTCAGAAAACAACAGCTATAAGATTTTTTATTTTCACAGGTATCATTGGGTATCATGAATTCTCTATCATCAATATTTCCTGTCCTCCTGCTCGTGGAGGTGACATACAGCCTTTCCATAGGCATATACCACCAGAAAACCATCACGTCAGCAGTATTATGTGATTCAAATGACATACACCGACAGATTGAACCCAATAAAAGGCAGTTCCTTGAATATGATGAATATGGTAATCCAGTGGAGCGTGAAGAAGAAGTGAACATAGACCCTTGCATACACAGTCCAGATGGATTGTTAGTTGAAGTATATTGTCCGTACGTTCGTGAAGCTATGACTATAGGGTATACAATTTCCAACAAAGTTTGCCCTAACGATCAAATTATCTTTCATTTCACAAGAACGTCCTACGGAGGGTTTGGTCATTTTGAAGTTGTCGGCAATATCAGCACATTGCACGGAGCAGCATTCAAAGCTGAATTCAAAATATCAGACCTGCATTTGGAGAATATGGGTATAACCAGAATAGCGCCCGGTGCATTTAATTTCCAGACGACCATAAAGTCAATTTTTTAAGTGAAAATAATCTCTCCGTGATAAACGTTGGTATATTCAATTCTCTAACTCACCTAGATACATTAGATTTATCAGAGAATCAGATTGTGAATGTAACTGAAGACGCATTTTCCAGTGTACCGCTAAGTAACTTGAGTTTAGGTAAAAACAAATTAACTTCGTTACCGGATACCTTGTTTGGCACAAGGCGTCTTGATTTATCGTACAATAATCTTCAACAAATTAATCCAAATGTCAACTTCGAAGCAACATATTTAGACGTAACCAGCAATAATATCAGTTACTTTAACATGTCTTCTTTCCCTCATATTACAGAACTCTATCTTGCTAATAATAAAATCAAGCAAATCGAACCTAATCCAAACATTAACAGACTAGATGTTCACAACAACACTATCTCCGAATTTCCAGAGAATCTGCTTGACCTAGTCATGTTGAATATGGGTACAAATAATATCTCACATTTACCAAACAATTCAATACTCGGAAACAACCTAATCCAACTGTCCTTAAGTCAGAACCATTTGACATACATACCAGTCATGTGCTTTAAAAAATTGAAATCCTTGACAAATCTCGATTTATCAGGAAACGAAATTTCAAGTTTTTCGTTTGGAACATTTGATAATTTAGAAAACTTGCTGTACTTGAATATTTCAGACAATAAGTTTAAAGTATTGCCGATTTACGCACTACACTCTGTGAATAATTTGGTGTCCCTGAGCTTTAGCGATAATGATCTTACTGATCTAAATGTTGACGACTTGCTTAAACACTTACCTTCATTAAGCAGAGTAGATTTCAGAGGCAATAAACTACCGTGTCAACAACTTTTGGAAGCCGTTCAGAAACTCAATATGCATCATGCTGTGTTTGAGAAAGGTACTCACGTTGAAACTGATAACATATATGGCATGCAATGTAACGTTGATGATGTTAAAGATAAAACTAAGTTAAAACTGCTTCCTGAAGACTTTATGAACAGTAGTTTTGTGCGATATCTTGAATCTCTGAATGGTGTACCATCAACAGAAAATCAACGTATACTGGAGAAACTTTTAGACATGGACAAAAAGCAAATTGAAGTTTTAGAAAAAATATTCAATAAATTGGATAAGTCGCAAGTTGAGATATTGCAAAAAAGTCTGGAAAATCATAATACAGATATTTTGAAGCAATTGGAGGATACGGTTAGCAACACCAAAACCATAAACGATAATTATGAAGAACTAAAGAATGTATTGCGTAGTATACTGGCAACTGATAACAAACGGAATGAGCTGTTAGATGAATTAGTTATTGAGCAATCCAATAAGTCATATCAAAAAAATAGCGTCTCTATGGTTGAACAGTTTATAAGTATTCTTAACAAAAGCTATGAAAGACAAAATGAGACCTACTCAAACTTAAGTATCGAGATGAAAAACGCAATGGAGGCTTTAGGACGAACACAGATGAATCTAGGTTATTTTATAGAGAAACTCGTGAAGGAAAATCAAACTGGCAATAATTTAAACTTATCTTTTGCTGAGGAAGGTATAATCAACGCAAACAGAGCTGAAGCCCTTCAATCCTATCCAATGGACAATAGTTCAGATAGAAAGTATCCTATTTTTGTATTTATTGCCCTGCTTTTGTTAGCAATGACCATTTTAATGTCTGTCCTTCTGTATGTTTTGTACTACAGAGTGAAGTATGTTATCAATACGAAACAAGATGTAGAACTAAATCAACTTTTAGGATCCAAGTCTGATATTGTGAGTAACTGATCTTTGTTATATGTATATTTAAATGATCAAGATATAATAAAGTATATATATTTCTATCTTCTTGTTTCATTTCAAAGCGAAAAATATTCTGCCTGAAAGACAGTGTAGTAGCCTGCTACATACCGACACAAGACTATATGGTTTTGCTCTAAAGGACTCCGCACCATTTGAGCAAAAATGGACATCGTCTAAATCACTACTAAGGCCCGTATCGTCAGTGGTCCCTACAATTGTAGGGCGCCTTTATGGCCTCCTTGATTGTCATAGTTTTCTACTTCTCCGTGTCAGCGCTCTATTTTGAGGTTATGTCACAAACATCTATTTGCATCAAATTGTGCTTGCTTTTGAGTTATATCATGTTTTATCAGCCTGAAATTTCCTACAATTTAAAAAGAAAACATATGTTTACAATAGGAGAGCGCTGACGCTGACACGGGACAAGTGTAATCTAGAAATTTTTGAAGGAGAGAAAGGTGTATGACAATCAAGGAGGCCATAAAGTACGTAATAACCCTGCCGTTGTTACAGGCTGAACTATCTTGGAGGTAAATTCTAGGTATAACATTTTAGTCTGTAATAAAGACAAACGACAGCGATTTGTGAATATTTTCAATGAAGTGTCAGATATGTTAGACAGAGACAAACATAATTTTATTGTCTAAACAAACTGTACTGCTAATTTGCATGTATCCGACAAAGATAGACGATGTTTTCATGATGCATGATCGATCATATTTGAAAGATGAATAGTTAGGTTATGTTAAAGCAGGTTAGGTTGTTTTCGAATAATACTTTGGTCTTTGGGGTTCCTGTCTCAAGGTATTCTACTCATAACTGTTTTTTTCAAAACAAAAACTCCCCACTAAAATTCTTATTATGATATCACTCAAAACCATGAAATAAAATGAAAATAAAAATAATCAGTGAAATAACCTAACTTCGCAAAATCATAATATAAATTTGTTGACATTATGTTCCTGACTACAATTGTAGGGCGCCTTTATGGCCTCCTTGATTGTCATAGTTTTCTGCTTCTCCGTGTCAGAACTCTATTTTGAGGTTATGTCACAAACATCTATTTGCATCAAATTGTGCTTGCTTTTGATTTATATCATGTTTACAGCCTGAAATTTCCTACAGTTTAAAAAGAAAACATATCTTCACAATAGGAGAGCGCCGACGCTGACACGGGACAAGTGTAATCTAGAAATTTTTGAAGGAGAGAAAGTAGGATGACAATCAAGGAGGCCATAAACGCGCCCTACAATTGTAGGGACGACTGACGATACGGGCCTAAGTGATAGAAAATGTATATGCATAAAACAATGTTTTGTTAAAAAGGCAGGCATCGCAGAATATGAAATGTGAACCGTTTGATTACAGGGTATCTATCTATTTACAACAAAGTCCTGACTACTAGGGCCGTATCGTCCAGTCGTTCCTACAATTGTAGGACGCCTTTATGGCCTCCTTGATTTTCATAGTTTTCCACTTTCCGATCAGCGTTCTATTTTCCATATTAGAACATACATTTTCGTTTGATCAACCATTCCACACGAAAACTAATTTCACTGGGCTACATCATGTTCTCAAGCTCGCTATTTCTGATGTAATATCCAGACCGCACAAGTTCAGTCCATTCATTGAATTGTGAAAGCACAGACGGCGAGATACACTGATATCTACGTAATACGTAATCACATGTTTACTTTGAAAACCCAATTAGCTATGTTCATCACAGCGACGATGACTTTATTTCGAAAATCGCCCCATGACGATTACTGGGTTGATAACAGATTATAACAAAGAAAACACATTTAGAATGGTAGTGTTGGATTCGTCTTGAACTTGACCTGTGTACCTATTGTAATCATAACCAGGTTAGTCAGTTATTTAATTTTTAGTTAGAAATAGATATCTGATGAAACATTGAATTTGCATGGCTTATTAAGATATCAGTATATTTATAATTTTTATCGGAAAAATAGGTAAAGCACTAAATTCATTTTCATATCATTATTTTTCGATTGGGTTTGTTGAACGTCATAGGCTGGGAAAAGTAGGTATGTGGACACCATTTTTGTGATTGCGCGACAGTATTTGATTTGCACAGCATATAGTTCTTGTAAATAGAGTAAAAAAACGCTATAAAATATGTGTGTACCTCATATTTTCAGTTCGAATGATACGATTTATTTCTATTTTATATTGAAGGAAATGTCACTTTGCATAATATAATATTTACAGGGCCGCTGTAAAAAAACAAAAAACAAAAAGGATTTTAGTTCCTGCCTAGCACAGGATCCGGAACTTTTCCATATTATATACATAGGGTGGAAAGTATATCAAAACACAACAAAAAAAGGTTGATGAAGTTTTATTTCCAAAATTTAGAAAAATTATATCTCCCTAGCGAGTAAAGTTACTGAGTTATGTTTTTCGACTTTCAGTCAGAACATCATTAGCAGTAAACACACATACTTTTCTGGCCCAAACTAAACCAGGGACGTAGAAACTGGGGTACCTGTACCCGTAACAGGAAATATTTTTTAAGGTGCTGGTTTTCTCGCAGAAAAAAGTGCATTTTATAAAATACCATTAAGTTTTCCATAAATTTTGTCTCTTGAGGAATGTTTGTCAGATCACTCGTTTCGGAGATATTTCTGTTCAAATATTTGAGGCAAACTCGTAAAACATTTTCATGAAATGTTTAGCTTCCCCTATTCTGAAAACACCGTGAAACTTGATATTGGAAACATTATATTTCATATAAAGAACGCTTTGGCTCCTAATTATAACATTAATTGAATAATGTGCGTCTTTTCTTCAAACCAGTAGCGTAGAAGCTTACCGTTCATTACAGGGCCGTAATAAAAAATCAAAAAGTTTTTAAAAAATCCCCGTCTACATTAGGATCAGGAACTTATGGTTATGCAAGAACACTATTCCAATGACCCAAATCCAAATTTTCATCTACTATAGAATTTTTGGAAGGCTTTGGTAAATTTTTATGACCCCTTATCGCACGGGTATTACGTAGCCTGAAAAGTGACATTTTGTCGATTTTTTTGACATTGTATTAGTTTTTTGTGACATTATGTAAGTTTTTCTACTACATGTTAACTTAGCACTAGCTGATGAACACGGTGTGAATTCGTTTTGTAGTTGTCCGTGTTCCCTAAATGAGGCTTCAGTTATCAATGTTTGGCTCTGATGTGATGTAAAATCTGC